CTGGAGTGTGACACAATACTGGCAAATCAATCAAGAACCAGGATACGGCTTGGATACGCTGAAACTTTGTAAATCGTCCTCTTTTCAATTGTAAACTTTATTCCAGTGTAATAAAGGTATACCTATACATGTACCATGAAAAATTATATCGCATCACTTTGGAAATTTACGCTAAATACATGTACTAAATACTAAACAAGCGCACATATCGTATTCATTTACAGCATCGGATTTTAAAACAATGACTCGTGGAATCACAACGAAACTGTTAAGTACGTATTTCACACATTAGCGAGGACCGCGGTAGAGACCGGTACAGCGGTAGAGACCCCTTATTATAAGCAGTCCGCGGCTCTCCCCGGCGTTCTGCGGTACACCGTGGTAATGAACGCGGTGCACCGCCCGTTTGATTTCCTACTCTTCCCTAAGGAAGATGTTCAAACACTTTTAAAAATACTCAATATGGCATTTTACAGATGGTCAGATGAGTTCTGCGTCAGATGTTTAATAAATGTGTTTATTACATCAAATGGGCAGATGGTATAGAATTTGGTAATAACATAATGACAATCACTTATACTACGGCTCTGCAATCTCTGGAATTGCATTATTGAATGCTAATTGAATTTCCTACCATACTTTTTTAATGTATACACACATTACTGAAGTGCAATCTATATACTTGAATATCGCTTACCACATCTTGTATTTACACATTTTAGAGCCCACAAAACCCCTTTGTTGGGCGTTCCTCATTGGGCAGTTTTGGATTAGGTACCGGTGATTTCACATTCAGTCAGAATTTGGCATTTGGAGAAGATGAGTTTGCTCAGTTAGACCCAGCTGCATTGAGCCCACGAAGTAACCTGAGTAATGAACAGATGAACCTATCACAAGAAAGGGCTGAGGAAAGAGCTGAAGTTCAAGGTGCCGAGAGTGGAGAGGAAGGTATGTACATGTATGTAGTGAGTAGTAGGTAATACTTTGTTGACCCACTCATAGAATGCTAAACTTTATTTGCTGTTCATAAGTTGCATTTATTGTATGTTTAATAATTGAAGTATACGACTTGTGTTTTGTTTAAGTTTACTTAATAGAACAAATGCAATATATATCTAAATTATGTTTGGCTGACCCTATTAATTACTGACATCTTTACATTTAGTTTCAGATAGTACTTTCCTTGCTATCTTTGATTATAAGATAATATAAACAATTAATTTAAAATTACAGACTATGTAAGTGATCCCCAACAATCAAGGAAATCACCCACTGGTTATGACAGTGGAAGAGAATCTACTCCACATAGTCCATCCTATATTGAAGACAATGGTGAAATACTTACCGACTTGGCTTTCAAATCACCACTACCAGCTATGAATAAACATGGTAAGTCATTACTCTCATTAATATAATTTATGATCTCAGAAATGGTTGAAAGATAGTCAATCTTTGTAACAAATATTATGGATTACTTTGTTTCAGTTGACACACTGCACAGGGTTCTCCCCAGAAAAAATGCATAGCGCTGCAACTAATTTGCATAATAATTTGCATATCATTTACATACCTTTCCTTCATTAATTAACAGAACTCATTTACAATTATGAATATTAATGAGCTCAGTCACAGTGCAAATATTTTTTTAATGGAATCAACACATTGTTTCACAATTTAGAAGAGTTTGAAACATTCTCTAAATACAGACTAAAAACAAACACACATAAATTATTGTTGCAATTTAATTGTCTATTGTTAAACGTTGAATAAAACGCATTTGAAACGTTAAGCCAGAAATATGTTCACGAATTTCCTGATTTTATTTACTCCAAAAACATTCACCTTCAAAAAATCGACCACGTAATTAATTGGCGTATTGTTGTAATTTATTATTCGTACCATCAACTTCTAAAACGTTTACATTTACAGTAATGAGCGAACAAATAAAACTTCAAAACAACCATCAAAGTTACGATGTGACATAACTTACTTGGCAATGTTATACACCGGTTATACCAATAATTCCTCAATAAATGTTACCGTTAAAGTCCTATTATAAACCGCGGTTTATATTACAATGTATCAATTTAAAAATTGGGATCAAAAGCTCAAGTTCGGGGTGCGGTTTCTATTACGTACATATTGCAATCACTAAATGGGCGTGGTCATTTTTTGTCCACAACACATGCATAAAACAAACAATACACCGTACAATCTCTTGAATTGGGGGCGGGGAAGAGTGAAAGGCCTTATTTTGGTTCTAAAAT